GAGAATTTTACTACAATAGGAGTGTTAATTTTGATGTCCACAACTTCTGCAAGGTGATGTGTTATTTCATAGAATACAGGAATGACGACAGAAAGTGTTGGAAATGATTCTTCTTTTAAGAAAATAATCGCATCGTAGGCTGGTTCAATTACTAATACAATTTCCTCGATTGTTTTCAAATGTCGACGAAATAAAGACTCCTTTTCTATGTGTTTCAATTTCAGAAGACTATGTGAAATACCATTTTTTATTGTTATCAAGTTTTTTAACATTTCGAATTCCATTAACCAGAATTTACTGTCCTGTACATAAAAAAAACACAATTATAAATTTTTTTTAAAGTAAAGTTCTTCTTATCTTGATTATTATGAAGAACTGGCGAAATAAAACTTTCAAAAAAATTACTTCCATATCCACTTCTGATATTTTCTCTATTTTGATTTTATTATTTAAACAATAAGAATGCAATATGTTTCTTGCATTATCATCCCAATAGAACATATTGTTTATCATAACAAACTGTAAATAAAAATTATATAAAAAATTTAATTTTTCTTTTTAAAAAAATCTAATATTATAATGTAAAATAATCTCCACCAGTATATTATTTTCTTTAAAAGGGCCCTATTAGTATACAGAATACATATTATTCTGGTTCAGACCAATCAAAGCAACTGCCTTAATAATAATTAAATTTTTAAATCTGTATTTTAACGAATATCGATTCTGCTGAATATATATTGCTGTAAGAATTATGCACTGACAATAATTGTTCACTTATAATCCACATGCTTACTTACAACATTCAATATGTCATTTATTCCTGAAACTTCTTTCGCTTCATTAATCATGGAACCTAGAACATCGTACAAACATCGGAGAAAAAGACACTCGGTATTCTTGTTTTGAAATGAAGGCGAATCACCTTTAAATTTTGGAGTCGTAATGTAAACAAACTTGTCTCTCAGGTTTTCTATTTAAAAATATTTTAAAGCAATCAATAAAAAGAAACTTGAATTAAAAATTAGTCACGCAAAAATTTTTTGATTTACCTGCAGAAAAATTACACACTTTTGTCACATTTTCATGAATTGCGTCTTCAATTAAATTGAAATATTGAATCACTTCTGTTGTGTAAACATTGTTTTCACATAAATCATTGTTCTGTAGGTTTAATTGCATACTACAATAATTTGCTCCTGTCTTCCACGTATCAAGTGAAAAAGCGAAGATTTTGTTATTTTTACTATTTACTTGTACTGTGTTACACACCAAATTCTTTAGTGTCTTATATGTTTCAAAAATTTTGTCTTCTGTAATTTTAGAAACAGTTGAAATTAGAATTTCATTTTTTATATTATTCATTACCAATGTTACACTATCATTGAATTTCTTGTCTATTATGAATTGCTGGATCATCATTTGTATAAAAAAAGGATTAAATTCATCTTTCTTTATTTCAGAAACTTGACAGTTTCCTTCTTCTTGATAAATATCAGAGTGTTTTAATTTCATATGTTGCTTTAAAGTTGTAGTACTTCCTAATGACAAAAAAATGTAAATACAGTAGAGACTCCATTATCCGGACTAATGGATGCAGGCACTTGTCCGGATAATCGAAAATCCGGATAATCGAGTAAAGTACGAATTAAACAAATTTTTGATTCATAATTTTATGTATTTATTTGCATATGTATTAAAATAAGACTGAAACAAACTAAAACTTTTAAAGTCAACATTAATAAATATTTACTTAGAAATATTTCAAAATATTTACATAAACATTTTCTTAAAATAATTGAAACACTTTAAAACGCAACATTTCGTGTTTGTTGGCGGGGAGAAATTTAAAATAGAAGTTAACGGTTTGAGACCTTATAAACTTTATATTAAAAAAAATTTTTTAATTTTAAATTTGTCCGGATAATCGAATATCCGGATAATAGGGGTCCGGATAATGGAGTCTCTACTGTATTATGATCTTCAAAGTTTAATTATTTGATGCATTAATTTAAAAAATCGAAAATCTCTTTAAGGTATCGCAATAATATTATTAAAAATAATGCTTTTTAAACATATTTATATATTATATGTTGTACTGTATATTATATTGAATTTTAGAAAAATGTTTGAAAAAGAACATGAAATTTCAGTCCTTGTTATGTAACATAATTTAAAGATGTGTAAACAATGTAATATACTTACCACTTTTATGAAAAGTATACTGAACAACTGGATGACAATGATTGCATTTAACCATTTTATCATTTTCTATTTTTGTAAAACACTGCCAAACTATACTTTTATGTTTATAATTTTTTATTTTACGCGTGTTTTGCTCCTCACTTTCAACTTTCTTTTCTTTGGATTCCATGTTTTCAAATCAATTTAATTCTTTGAACTTTTGAGGTTAACTTACACGAAAACAAAGTCAATACAAATTTCGATATTTCAAATGCATGAATTGTTTACTTATAAAGAGTGGTCACAACTCTCATGAAATGTTAAGAAAGTAAAGGTGAATTCACAATAATTTAGTTTTTAGTATACTGTGATTGGTTGATCTAACAGCATTTTTGGTTGGTGTTGAAGCCCACCCCTGGCGCTAGACATTGCGCATACGCAGCACACTGTTTACTTTTCTTTTTTCGTCTGCTTAGTTAATGTCAAATGTTTCCCTTTTGAATTTGAATTTTTAGTCTTTTTTATGTTGAAAGAAATAAACAATGGAAAAAATCCAAGTGTGTCAACCGTTAGGGATAATAATAAAGAAATCCACAAATCAATTGCCAAAATGATTGGCATTGATATGTTACCTTATAATATGGTTGAAAATCAAGGATTTCGAGAATTCATTGAAAAACATTTATCGGAGTACAAATTACCGTCTAGAACAACTTTCTCAAGAAAGTATGTACCCCAACTATTTTTAGAAATGAAGGAAAATATTAAAATTGAATTGGCTTCGGTGATCAAAAATTCTCTCAGTGTTTCGTTTACAACTGATTGTTGGAAATCACGATCAAAAGATCATTACATTTCCTTGACATTACATGTTATGGCAGATGATTTTAAATTAAAAACTTATGTTCTTGGAAATGACGAAATTTTAACAAGTCATACTGCTGATAACTTGAGATCATATTTGTTAAATATGATTCAAAAATGGTCGTTACCAGGTAAGTATTTTTGTATAATATACTTTATAATAATCGTAAGTTTCCTTTCCGTTAGAAAATTTTCTGCGTTTATTTGTTTGTTTTGCAAATTAATTTGTGTATTGTCATTTTTTTAATGTCAAAAAGACCAAAAAAATTCGTTTTATTCACTTCATGAAATTGACAAAAATTCCATTCCATATTTTTTATTTTTCTGACTTTTTCCTAATTTTCATTAAAAATATTTATTTTTTATCCTGATAATAAATTGAATTCCTGCAACGAATTTTATTATTCATAAAAGAATTTAAAATATATTTATAAAAAATAATAAATTCTTCATAAAAATTTGTATTATTCATGAAAAGAATTAATTTCTTACGAAAATTTTTACAAACAATTTTTTAAATAATTGAATTCTGTTAGGAAATTTTATGAAAATAGTAAATATTGAAAATCATTGAATTGCGAAAAGTTTTTAAAGATAATTAAATTTTACAAAGAATTCTATTAAAAAATTTGTCAATGATTAAATGTCTGTGGGAAATTTTATTAAATAATTTTGAAAATAAATGAATTGCTAAAAAACATTTTATTATTTATGAAAATAATTGAATTCTTGAGAACGATTTACTTATTAGAATTTTTTAAAATAATGTAATTTACTAAGAAGGAATTTATTACTTTTAAAAATATTTGATTTATTGTGATGAATATTGTTATTTATAAAAATAATTGAATTTGAAAAGAACTTTATTAAAATACCTCCAAATAATTTAATTTTCGGGAGTAATTTTCTTATTTATCAACATAACTGAATTCTTTCGAAAAGTTACTTGTGGAAATAATTGAATTCTTAGAAAAAATTTAATTAAAATTTAGAATAATTATAGTTTTGAAGTAATTTCTGTAAAATGGTATTAAAAATAATTGAATAGTTGCTAAGAATTTTATTAAAATTTTTAAAAATAATTGAATTCTTTATAAGAATTTTATAAACATTGTTTTAAATAATTTATTTTTTCGAAATATAATAAATATTATGAAAATTTTATTAGTTTAAATAATTGGATTCTTGTTTAAAACTTTATTTGTGAAAATAACTGAATTTTTCAATTATTAATTTAAAATAGTAATAAAAATAATTAAAATTCTTAGATGAGTTTTATTATTTATGAAAATAATTCAATTCATGCTTAGAATTAAATCAAATCTTTTTTAAAAAATTGAATTTTCATAAAAAATTTTATTATTAGTGAAGGTAATTGTATTATTGTGAAAACTAAATTGCAAAAAATTTTGTTAAATAATTGATTTTTTCGAAATTTCTTTGAAAATTATTGAATTAAAAGTAGTAGAAATTCTCTAAAAAAATATTATTTATATGCTTTGTTCAGAAAGTTGAATATATAATAATTTGTTTACCTTCTCTATTGTTCAAAATAATGAAAATTTTCGTAATAAAGATTATTTTTAATTTAGGTATCAAATAACAATTTTTGCGAAAGTAAAGTTTCCTCGTACATGAAAGTTTAATTATTTTTAATTTTGAAAATCTGATGTTAAATTTGAAATTAGTATCAAAATATGTTAAAGTTTTTTTATATACTTTAAAGTTTACTTTTACCTTAAAAATTACTTAAATTAAAATGACTTTAAATTTTGCCAAAGAAATTCTTTTATTACTTATAAACGTTATCATAATTAAATTCTAATTAAAAATATGAATAAAATTTTTTTTTAAGTTAAGAGCGATGACTCGATCTCAGTCTTCATTTCAACCGACAATGCTCGCAACATAGTAGCTGCAATCAAGGAATTGCCAACTTGGGTTCATATAAGATGCTTCAATCACACATTGGATTTAACCCTTGAAGATTCGAAAAGACAAGTAGTCTCCATTAAACAGCTTTTGCGAAAGGTAAGTATTTTAAAAAATGTCATTAAACTATGCATCCTTTTCCTTTCTACTGCAATAATCAAACCATTCTTTCCAGTGTTAAAAAATTGTAGGGCATATTAACAAATCGGATCCGGCTAAAAAAGCGTTAGATAATGCTCAAAAAGACGAAGGACGTACACAAATTTTAAATCTTCTTCAACTTGTGGAAACGAGATGGAATTCGGAATTTAAAATGATAGAAAGATTGGTTCTTTTAAAAAGTCCATTGTCTACGGTTTTAAAATTGAATAATTTCAAATTTAAACATTGTTTAAATGAGGCAGAATGGAATGTCCTAGAAATTTTAGTCCAAATTCTAGGACCATTTAATGCAGCTAGCGACTGCATGAGTGGATCTTCGTATCCGACTTTGTCTATGAGCATACCTATTGTATATGAATTAAATCACTCTCTTATAACAGTAGAAGCTACAATAGGAGACGATTTGCCACTCAATCTTCGTTTATACGTGCAAAAAATAAAACAATCGTTAGAAAAGCGATTTGGCATTTTAATGAAAGATAATGTGTACCAAACAGCCATGGTACTTGATCCACGATTCAAATGTTTACTACTCAATCCGACGGAAGCCGAGAAAATAATTAATATAATTTCTGATGAAATTTTAACTCTCCGTCAAAATCAACCAGAAGATTTACAAGGTAGAAATTTGAAAATTAAAATGGACAAAAGATTTCAAACATAATATTAATGTATAATGTAACAAAATCTTACAGATGCTGATGCTCCGACTCTTTTGACAAAAAGATGGAAATTTTTAAAGGCAAAAAGAGCAAATCAAGAGGCTGAGAAACATTTATATTTTCCACATCTAGTTAGACAACAAGTAAGTTATTATTTTTTATCTTAAAAATAGAAAATGTCACTCAGGGTTGCCATGCAACTAGGAAAAGTCAGGGAGTTTTTATTCAAATCCTGAAAAATTGTGATTTTCTAAAGTTATTGTGTTTATTCTTGAAATCTATAATATTACTTAAATATTTTTTTTGTAAAAAATTTTATTAACTAAAATTCTTCTGAAAGTAGTTAAAATTTTTAATTATATATTTAATTGATTATTATTTATAGAAGAATTTTAATTAAAAACGCTAAAACAAATTGAATTTTCAAGCAATTACAAATGATTGCAGAAATTCAATTATTTTCAAAAATTTTAATTATTTTTAAAAACTTCCCTTAATTCAATAATTTTTAATATCTATTTACCAAAAGAATTCCATTAGTTAAAAAAAATTTAATAAAATTCTACGCAACTATTTCATTATTTTTATAAATAATAAAAATTACACAGGAATTTAATTATTTACAAATGAAAATTAATAATAAATTATGTTCATAAATAATAAAACTCATCGCAGACATTCAATTAGTTTCAATACTATTTTAATAAAATTCCTCTAAAAATGTAATTATTCTTAAAATTTTATTCAAATTTGTCAAAGAAATTTAATTATTTTAAAAACCTATGCTTATATTTGCAATACATTTTTAACTAAATTTCTTCAAAGAATTAAATTATTTTCAAAAATTTTAATGAAATTCTTTATAACAATTCAATTATTTTCAAAATAATTTTAATAAAATTCTTCTTAGAAATTTAATTAATTTTGAAGAATTTTTCAAAATTCAATTATTTTCAATGTCTACTATTTTAATAAAATTTCACAAAAGAATTCAATTATTTAAAAAGAAATTTTAACAAAATTCGTCTCAAAAATTTAATTATTTTCAAAAGTAATATTCGCAGAAATTTTATTATGTTAAAAAATTTACAAAAATTCTCATCAAAATTTCAATTTTTTTTATAAATAATAAAAATTTTCTCCGAAATTAGATTATTTTCAAAAATTTTAATAAAATTCTTAGCAGACTTTCAATTACTTTTAATACAATTTTTATCAAATTTCTCAAAAAATGTAATTATTCTTAAACATTTTATTAAAATTCGTCAACAAAATTTTATTACTTAAACATTTTATTGAAATTCGTCAACAAATTTTTATTACTTAAAAATTTGTTGATAAAATTCTTTATAAAAATTTAATTTTTAAACATATTCAATTATTCAATAAATTATTTATTTTTGTATTTAAATAATTGAATTCTCGTAGAATTTTGTAATAAAATCTTATTTAAAAATGAATATAATAATTGAATTTTTAAAAGGTTTTAAATTTAAAATCTTTGAAAATTTGAACTTTTCATATTGAATAATTAATTTTTTTCAAAAAGTTTATTAGATTTTTTTTTAATTGTTTGAAATTGAGGATCCCAATCAAAGAATCGGTTACAATTTTTTTTTAATCTCAAAATCGTTGCCCTGTAAGTCAAAAATTAAACTGTTTTTAATTAAAATTTTTTGAGAAACATTATGGTAATCTTTCTACAAGTAAGAAATATTTTCATAAAATTGACATATTAAATCCTTTTTTTATTTAGAGGTCGAGAATTTTGAGTTTCAAAAACTTATAACTGGTTCTTTGATTGGGACCCTCAATTTTTAATTGAAGAATGTCAGAATAATCCTTGTTTTGTAAAATTAAATTGTAAACAAAAGAATTTGTAAATTTTCAAAGAACTTTTTTAAAAATTGACTTAAAGAAGAATTTTAGTTGGAAATTCTAAAAATGAATAATCGTAATGATGAAAATAATTTTTGAAGAAGTTACAGTAACAAAGTAACAAGTTTTAATTATTATATGTTATTGAATTTAAAATTTTCGAAAATCTTAATTTCTATAAAAAAATAATAAGGATTAAATGTTTATTTATAAATGAAGTTATTGATGTTTCTGAATAATTTTTGTTTAAAAAAAAAAACAAAAAAACAAAAAAAACCTGGAAAAATACCGTTTTTTAAATTTGAAATAGAGAAATATTAATGCAATTGATTAATATATGTAAATGTTTTATTTCAGGTTGAAATGTACGTGAATGAAAAGACCCTTCCTGTTAATAATTGCCCATATGAGTGGTAGAGACAAAATTCCCAAAATTATCCGTTGGTTTCAAAAATAGCGGCAAAATATTTATCGATTCAAGCTTCTTCGGTAGAAAGTGAAAGACTTTTTTCCACAGCTGGAAACATTGTTTCTAATAAAAGAACAAAATTAAAGCCAGAGCACGTTACGCAGTTATCTCTTATAGCCGCTAATATGCGTAAAGCAAAATGAAACTGTGATTTCGGTATTGCTCGGTCGACGGGAATTTCTCAAAATGAATTTTTGAATTTCTTAAAACAAAGTACTTCCCTCAATAAAAACTTACAAATAGGCAGAGTATTTTCTTCTGACTTCCTACTCCGCAATTATCATTTTACAGACTTAGGATATTATGACTTTTTTCGACTATTTTCAAATAGTGTGACTTTTATCGACTTATATTAAAAAATTAGGACTTTTTTACATTTCTTATAAATTTTGCGACAAAATACTTGATTATTTTAGTATAAAATGCAACTTATTTCGATTTTTATAGTGTGAAAAGCATAACTATAGACAAATTATTGAAAATTTATTTTTGAATAATTTTTCTAATCAAATTTTTGAAATATACAATTAAAAAGATTTTGAATAATTGGAATTTTGTAAAATTTAATTGTAAATAAATTATTTTTATAAAGTATTTTATCACAATTTTTAAGAATTAACTTTTAAAGAATTTTAATTGAAAATTTTTGAAATTTTATTAAAATTGTATTAAAAATAATTGAATTTTTGCAAAGAATTTTACTGTTTATAAATAAAATAAAATTATTTCAAAGGATTTATTAAAATTCTAGAAAATAACTGAATTCTTATGAGATATACTGTATAACGAATTAAAAAAATGAATTCTTTCGTGGAATTTTTTGAAAATAATTGAATTTTTGCAAAGATTTTACTATTTAAGAAAATAATTTAATTGTTTTGAAGTATTTATTAAAATTCTAGAAAATAATTGTATTTATTCGTGAAATTTTATTAAAATTTTGTTTAAAAATAATTGAATTCTTACGAAGATCGTTATGATTTATGAAAATAATTGAATTCTTGCAAAGAATTGAATTATTTTCAATATTTTCGATATTCAATATTTTCAATATTTCCGAAAATTCAAATACAGTGAAACCTCGATAACTCGAACCTCGATAACTCGAATTTTTGATAACTCGAAGGTATTTTTTATTCCCGGCCAAAGGGCCAAAAGGCAAAAAGGCCTTCATAACTCGAATTTTCGATATCTCGAATTTTTTTTTGCTTCCCTTGGTGATTCGAGTTATCGAGGTTCCACTGTATATACACAAACTAATAACATTAAAAATTTTTAGAAATATAATCATACCTATACAAAATTATAAATTAAAATTCTCCAAAAAATGATTTTTCTTAAATTAGGTATACAAAAATTTTTCAATTGTTCTTGAAAAATTAAATTACAATTTTTATATAAAAAACTAATTCTTAGAATTGTTTTATCATAATTTTTTAAGATTCAATTAGCTTGGAACAAAGTAAATTATAAAGTTTTCTTAAATTTACTATTTTAAAATTTTTAAGAAATTATTTATAATTAAAATTATTTAAAAATTTGATTACTTTTTAAAATTATTTTAAAAATTGATTATTTTTAAAAGATTTGACTAAATTTAAATGAGTTTTTAAAAGATTTTACCAAATTTCAATTTTTTTTACATTTTTTAATTGTAGGTATGTAATTGTAAAAATATTGTCTTTCAAAAATGATTTAGAAATAATTATGAAAAGTTAATTTTACGAATTTTTTTATTAAGTTTTTTAAAAATATTCTACTTTAATATCTCTAAAAAGAAAAATGAACGGTTTTAATAATTATAAAAAATTGAATTTTTGGAAGCTTATAGTTTTAATGCATTTTTGGACGAATCAACAATCTTGTTGAATAAGAAACGGAATTTACTACCGCCGCAAATCGCAAAGGAAATTGTATTTATTAACTATAACTATTGGTTACTAAATGAAATTGAATTAATCATTTTTTTTATTTATAAATTACTATTAAATTGTTAAAATAAATAAAAATTTATTTTAACAATTGAGCAAAAAATTTGCAAAATAAGTTCTTTTTCCTTATGTTGGTACTACAAACAATAAGCGAAATATTTCTTTCACTTTTAACACATTGTTGGTATTTGTATACTATTTATATTTTTATAATATTATAGAATTAATAAAAAATATATTAACATTTTTAAGAAAAAGTTTCTAAGTACTTAGAATTATGAATACTTACTTATTATGAATACCAGCCTGCTAATTTTAGGTTAGGATTTCTGTCAAAATAGTTGTGCAAATAAAATAACCGAGTCGCACAATTCGAAATTCGAATTGTCCGATTCGAATTACTTTCGAATCGAATCGGCCAATTCGAAATTCGAAGTTTCGAATTTCGAATTGGCCAACTCGATTCGAATTACTTTCGATTCGAATCGGCCAATTCGAAATTCGAAGTTTCGAATTCGAATTGGCTAGTTCGATTCGAATTTACTTTCGATTCGAATCGGCCGATTCGAAATTCGAAACTTCGAATTCGAATTGGCTAGTTCGATTCGAATTCACTTTCGATTCGAATCGGCCGATTCGAAATTCGAAACTTCGAATTCGAATTGGCTAGTTCGATTCGAATTTTCTGTCGATTCGAATTTTGCACACCTCTAGTTCCTAGCGATCATCACGTACTCCAATCTGAAACAATTCAACATTATAAAGATTTTAAAATTATTTTTTCAAATTTAAAATTATTATTAAATGTTAAAAAATTTTAAATAAATTTTAAAAAATTTGAAATAATTTTTAAAAAATTTGAAATAAATTTTAAAAAATTTGAAATAATTTTTAAAAAATTTGAAATAAATTTTAAAAAATTTGAAATAAATTATAAATAAATTTTTAAAAAACTTGAACAAATTTGAAATAAATTTTCAAAAAACTTGAATAAATTTGAAATAAATTTTAGAAAATTTGAAATAAATTTTAAATTGTGACGAACCAACTTTGACACAATTTATCCTTGTGGGGATAAAACATAAAGTACACTAGACAAATGTACCCTAACATAAGATGTTTATAAATAAGGCCAATTCGAACCTTACTTCGGTTGAAATAACAAAAGGGTAAAAATTAAATATAACGTAAGTCCACATTTAATGTCATTAACTTCCTTAGCTATAACCTTTCATTATAAAGACACTCATAGAATAAATTGTCCGATCTTAATGAACTCGGATCACACCATTCTCAAAAATGCAAACACTGCAAAATGCACTGGTCAATGACGAAGTGTTATTAAAAAATGTCGATTTCCCCACCCGATCTTCGGTGTACGAAACAGATCAAACGGTGGAAATCGAAGAGTTGGTTTCGGACTTTCTTAAAGGAACGACCATAGAAAAGTAACGTTTAGTTTAAGGCCTGAATAAATAGGTCGTTTGTTTTGTAGAGAAGGTAAAGTCGGAATTCATAAAAAGTAAAACACAAAGTCAAGCTGTTTAGTGATATTAAAGGATATACTAGTGGAAATTAAATTGGTTCTAAAAAAAGAAATAAACAACCGAAGTGAGTTGAATGTACTATGAATAAACACATGTAATAAAAACACAACACACACAATACACTTCCATTAAGAGTAATATTAAATAAAATACAAATAAAGATAATATTTGGGTAAACAAAGATTTAATACTAATTGATGAAGATCGTTTTAAAGGACAGAGATAAATTTGGGAAAAATATATTTTTATGTAACACGATTTAACTTAAAATATATTATAATATTGGTATATAGTAATCTGTATTTTTATTTATTTAACAATCCTTTATTTCCTAAATTGACACTCCGCCTTAGAAATAGGGATTCTCACCCCACAGGCTGAATTGATAGTCTGTTAGGACGGGGATCCATTACCAAACGTGTTTAAGGGTTTCAGATTTTTATCCGTGCAACATCAGTTATCAATTCTAATTCTATTTTTGAAAATTTTAGCATAGCATCAAAAGCAAGTCCTGGTGCTGTATAATAATGCATTGGATCTAAATTAAAAGTTGATAAAAATGTTTCCCTGAAATTTTCAAAAATATCAGATAACAATAATACATCAGTTTTTAAATTAAGATCTGAATATTTACCTAAATTTTGCAAATTAAATGATTTTCATACATTTTTAGCATGGCATAATCTGAATCGGAAACATGTTCATTGTATAATTTAGAAAAAAATGAATCTTTTGGTGATGAAAATTCCTCATCATATTTTCCCCAACAATCAATATAATCATAGGGAAATACTCCCTTTCGTGTTAATAATTTAAATTCTGCATTATTATTGCAAAATTTACGTGCAATTTTTTTTATCATTACTCAAATAAGAAGCTAATTTTTCAAGGCTACTCGGCATAAATTTAAAAGAATCTATAAAGCGAAGTTTAATCTTGGTATCAACAACATTTTTGAAAAAGCTATATACTTTTCTTTGTTTACAGGCAGCAAGCTTATATCTCCTTTGAAATTTGATGCTAAAGCTCTATTAAAAAAATGTGAGTCATATCCAGAGGGATTATGAAAAACTACTGGAATGATGTTTGCATCTTTATAATTTAAATTGCAGTTTTGATGAGCAGCACCGCGATATTTACCTGTAAAATGACAGTGATCGCGGTGCATAATATCATTAGACAGAAAATCTTTTTCGCAAATGTGACAAATTGCAGCAGTTCAAAAATCATGTTTTTCTTGATTCGTTAATGTTTTCATTGGTACAATGATTCTTAAAAGATCATTGACGTAATGTGATACGGTCAGCTCTATCAATAGTGCCGCAAAATTGCACAGCGTTTACGACTTTTCTTGGAACTGTAGTACCCCCACTGTTTGTATATTTCTCTTTTAGCGGAAACTCGAAATTCAGAAGCCGTGCTAGAGTCGCTAAAGTGGGGATAGAGCTCGAGCGAGAAAAAAGAGAAGTGGCACTATTGATAGCGGCAGTATTGGTAGAGTTGACTGAATAGTTTTTAATTCGTTTAAAAACCATTCAATGTAATTTTGTCCGCGAAAAAGATTGCTTTTATATAATGTATTATCATAACTACAATGTACATAATAAGCAACACTTGTTGGAACGTGCTTCTGAAAGTCGAAAGTATTAGTGTATGACTTATCCATAGGAACCAACAGACACTCAGTATCTGCATATATAACAAACGGTACTCATTCTTTAAAACTATAATTTTTAAACAATAAAATATTGTCGTCTTTTTTTTGGTAAAATTACCCTGCA